TCAGTTATGTCTTTCCTCAGACTGGTCTAAAGCCAGGAAATAAGCAGAAGACGCCTGGGACTTTTGAGGACCACATCTGGTAGATGTTTTTAGCGCATGCTAGCACACACTGATGGATCAAATGCTCCTCATATCACTATCTTTTAATAGTAAAATGCCTAGAGGCATTGCTTCCAAAACAAATCTGAGAAGAACAAAAGAAAGGCTAGTTTTTTTTTTTTTTTGTTGTTGTTTTTTGTTTGTTTGTTTTTTTTTTTTTTTTTAATTACTAATGAAGTCAAAAGAGAGATTCAATCTAAATTACAAATACATGTAATTTTTCAAGGTATCTTCACATGCCTCTTTTTCTCTCTTATGCCCACATTCACTCCATCAGATTGAATGGAATCTGTGTCAAATGACTAAATCTGGATTATTATTTTTTTCTCCATAAAAGTTCAGAAAGAAAACCTTCAGTCTATATTAAGATTGAAACTTATTCACAAAAAGGAACACTATTTGCAAAACTAGGCTGAACTTTTGTAGAGGTAGAACACAGTGCATTCAAGACATAGACAAATGCTGCGCATTCTATGGACACTGCAAGGTGGAAGTGTTAACTTGGTTTCAGACATTTGGCAAAATAGACATATAGCAACAGAAATAGAAGATTTTCAACACATCCTGCTTTGAAAATAAAATGACTTGGCTTCTTAGTGGTATTTTTTCATTAAAATAGGGGCTTTGCTGAGGCATTTATGTGTCAGGAGGAGCCTATTAGTCTATGATGATATTCTTTTTCCATTGACATTATCTTTTAATTATATCATTCTGAGCCATGTCGCTAGTGGAGGATCGATTTTTACAGCCCAGTTTACATATCGCTTCAGCATCTAATCCTGAGGAGGTGTTACACACTTTGAGGTTTCTGCTTCCCTTTTTTAAAATAATTTGGAACTCATGACTGCTTAAAAAGGCATCAACAAAGGTGCCTGTCTTTCCTTTGAAGTCATTTTTTGCGGAAATCACAGTCACTGACCAAAAGGTTTCAAAAGATTAAATTGTGCTTATTTTACGACATTTTAAAACAGCAGGGTTAAATGCTGGGCCAGCTGCCAGGCAGTCAGCAGCACCCATACTTTCATGTTCAGCAGCCAGACACATCTACAGCAGTTATTTCTGAGTAGTTATTCCCGAAATATGTCACTCAGAACAGCAAAGGGGTTTTAAGATTTGCGTGCTTTGATGACGGGCTAATGAAAGTGTATTTTATATATATACCAGGGGTGTAATGAATTTCAGATTAAAAAAAAAAAAAAAAGAGTGAATGTAGTGCACAAATTAGATATTTGTAATTCTTTTTGCCAACACTGGCTTCTCCCTATTGTCAGGATCAACTTTGAAAGCAACAGAACCATGAATTACTCCTGTCCTGTACTCATGTCCCATAGTGCTTTATTCACATGTGGCAAAATACTTCTCTTTGCTGCTCTCTCCTTTGTACGGGGTCTGCAATAGACTGAGATCTGGGAGATTAAACTCCCAGAACTGTTCAGAAAGAGAGACATGAATTTTGACATTGTCTTTGGTGAGGAACCAGAGCAGAGGGAGGACACATACATTCCATGCTCTCTGTCCTGGTCAGCACCACAGAGGGCTTCGTTGGTCTTTTGAAGCTTAGCTCTGTTGTAGTCAGGAAGTTATCTGCTCAATTTTATATATATACATATATAAAAAGCTCTTGTGCCAATTCTTCTCCCTCTGCTGGCACAGGGAGTGATGGAGAGATCCACAGAAGCAGAACAGAGCACTTTTGGTTTTTAATGGGCACATCTCAGGGACTCAAATAAGCTGGGATTAGTTAGGATATACTTGAACTGCATAAGCTTATCTAAGTTCTGCTATGGCTCAGGCTGACACAGGAGCAGCTGCTGAGTTTTGTGACTGTAACCGGCTCCCCATCTCCTGCTCTGAGTGGATCTTGGCACAAGCAGAATATGGGCCTTTTATTCTTGTCCTGCTGGCTGGATGAAACCCCACTGTCTACAGATCAAAGGGGTTTGATGGACTGCCAAAAATAGTAACCTATACGTAAAACATGTGCTCCATTTATAGCGATCATTTGGAAAGTTTCCTGCTACTGCAGAAATGCAGATTACATTGATTTACTGTCCAGTACCGCAAAATTCTGAGAGGTTTTTCAATGACTTATATTGTATGCATTTGCAGAAAGACTAGGGAGATTCCTTCCTTCCTTCCTTCCTTCCTTCCTTCCTTCCTTCCTTCCTTCCTTCCTTCCTTCCTTCCTTCCTTCCTTCCTTCCTTCCTTCCTTCCTTCCTTCCTTCCTTCCTTCCTTCCTTCCTTCCTTCCTTCCTTCCTTCCTTCCTTCCTTCCTTCCTTCCTTCCTCCCTTCCTTCCTCCCTTCCTTCCTCCCTTCCTTCCTCCCTTCCTTTCCTCTTTGGTATATAATACATAATCATATGAAGTACATTTTTCTGAGTTTTTGTGTAGCTTTAGTGAAGTGGGTTATATCTACACTTTGAAAATAGTCACCTGCACTGATGCCTTAGCCTTTGAAAAATGAAATTCTTCTTCTTTTGATGTAAAGGACATCTCTCCAGCATTTGTGGAATCATTTTATTTTACCTCCCAGTCAGAACATGTCCGATCTGTTGTTTTCTGAAACCTCTCTGTTTGTTTTTTTTTTTTGTTGTTGTTTTGTTTTTGTTTGTAGGAATAGACCGTTGAATGCATAACATAGCCACTAAACAGGAAGGTAGACAAGAACACAGACTCCTTGTGTTTTGAACCTCTGTGGTGTGGACGACATACTCTTTCCAACCCTCATCTATTTCTATTTCACAAAAAAGCTACTTTCAGAGTCCTTCCTAGAAAGGTCTTAATACCACACAAAAGGCACAAAGGCTTTTACAGACAGCCTGAGTTCAGGTTGTTGTTATTAACACGGAAGACATGCTACATTGAGCAGTATGGTCTGATGCGGACACTTAGAAGTAAATCAGGGAAATAAAAGTGCTAAGACCAAATGACCAACTTTCACAGATCTAGTCTATATGTTAACAAAATAGGACCTGATATCAAGTTAAAAAAGAAAGCTGGAAAACAAGGTGAGCATCTGTAGCACTTATAATTCATAGGAAGTCTTGTTATCCCATGCACTAATGTGTATATCGTGAAATTAGTAAACTGACTGAAAAACTCACCAGTGTAAGAGGGATGTAAAAGCTCAGAAAAGAACAATGACAGTAACTAGTGGCCTTCAACCTTTCATCCAATTTGTAAACAGTTATTGTCTTTGGTGGATGATAAAGAAGACAAACTTGGCCTTCATTACATGACTCATATTAAGGAAGGATGTCATCATTTTTTCTCCAATAACTTATGTACCTATGAATACTCTAAAATGCCTCTTCTCCCTTCCTGGTTTCATTTTTCTAAATCTTTTTCCTCTGGACCCTAGCTGCTAACTAATAGGCACCATAAGAGTTAATTATTCTATCTCTGGATACTATTAAATTCACCCCATTTCACTCCTCTGCTTCCCGTCTGTTAAAGTCCTAAGGATCAAAGCTCAATATAACTATTTTAGGCCAAGAGTTCAAAATGCTACCATTCATATTATAACTTAACAGGAAAGCATGAGTTGCTTTTACTCCTAATAAATCATAACTTTTTGAATTTTATTATTATTATTATTATTATTATTATTATTATTATTTTACTGAAGAATTAATTCAGTTTTTCCTATTTTATAGCCCTAGGATCCTAATCTCAAAGATTATATCGATCTGTTTTTTATGCATTCATTGTGTCATTTATTTGAAGCAGAAGAAATATAACTCTAATCTAAAATTATTGGGTAAGAAAAGGTAGACACATTTTAGAAAGAAACATGCGTTTATAATGGAAGAAAAAGTAAGGTCTTTCCTCAGCTATTTTTTCCTTACTTGTGAATTACAAAGACATTTTTCCTTTAGATCTCCGCTGAATTCCTAGCAAGTGTTCCTAATAGCTACTCCATTTGCAACCTGAAGATTTTGCATGGAAGGGGTTGTTTTAATTAGTTTTAAATGTGATATCCTCAGCAATGGCTTTCATAAGTTTCATAAGTTTCTGCATTCTCATCCAAAATGTGTTGGCTGAGTGTTGGATTTTATCCTGAAATCATTTCGATTTAAATGGCAACCAATCTGTCCTCCACATTGAGATTCACTAACACTTTCCATATTGTATTTACTGCAGGACCATCCATTAAAAAGAAAGAAAAAAAAATCAGGTTCTGTGTTCTCTACATGGCAGCGTTTGCCCCATATGCATTTGGCGCTTGTAATACATTGCAGTTGCAATGCATCCCGAAGGTGATAATCGCATCTCCCTCTAGTGGCTCTCCACCGCCGGGACAACAGCTGTCTACTGACAGACGATATAATGACTCGTTTAACTCTCTATTTACTCGTTTTGGTTAAGTTTCTTCAGAGATTCCTAGCTCAGTTCTGCCAAGAGCTAGCACACATCTGCTTTTGTGAGTGATGGTTTGCTTGTTCGCTAAGCACCAATGAAGAAATGTTGAGGGTTTGAATGATGCTACATTGCTTCAGCCTATTAAAGATGATAGGGAAGAAAAGAGGAGTTCTATAAGGGTGAGCATGACAGCAATCCTGGTGACGGTATCATTGGAGTAGCCCCTATAGATGGTGAGGGTAAAAGAACTAGAAGGTTTAGTCTAAGCAACAGTCTGATTTTAATCTTTACAGTCTATAAATCATATTAAAAACCTGGGCTCTGTGATTGCATGTCTGTAATACTCCGTTTGTATCGGTGTTGTGAATATTTCCTCAGAAACAGGGCATTAGAGTATAAATGTAAGCTGAGAGACTGCAAATTCCTAACTAATAATTCTATTTTTCCATGTCAAATACTTACCTAAGTTATTCTGTTTATAAAATGACTTAGTATAGTTTTCCTCTCAGCTCATACAAAATACCCTCAGATGGAAGTTAAACACTTTACAGAAATAAACATGCACTCTTGAGGTAGTGCTGTTTAAACCATGTAGCGTGACTGGCATTGGCTCCAGCTCAAAGACTGAAACATCCCCCTCCACAGCCTGACACACCAAGCTCTCTCCCCTCCCAGTTCCACCCACAGCACCAGCCCTTGCCTTTCCGCCTTTAGGTTGATGCAACGGACTTTTTCATTAGCCTAATAGTCCCACTCAGCTGTACAACAAGAAGAATGTGTGTTGTTCCTTCTCTGTAGTGTTGTCTTCATCAGCAAAATTTAGCTGAAGCTTTATGTTCAGAGGGGTGAGGAGAGGATGGGAAAGGGGAGTAACCCAGGCCAGCTGTGTGTACTCTGACTGTTCATTTAAGTACAAGCAAGCAAAAGAATTCTGGCTGCAAAAAGTAAAATATTACAGGCTATATCATAAGGTTTGGATGTGAACATAGGTGCACAATGCTTCTTTCACAAATTCCTGCTGTAAACTTTGTCCTTTACTGGGTGATTCAATCCTCTGTAATGAAAAAGTTGCCCTACTCTGAACTTGATTTTTTTTTCTTTCTGAAGAATAGTAATAACAAAGACCAAAACACAAGACAGAAGAAAATATACTCCAGCCTGTGTTAAAAGAATTCTCTTGGAAAATGAAAAGCCATAGTACCACTGGGATCAGCTATTCAAAGGATCTGAAACCTTGCCATGGCCTCCACAGCTGCTACAGAAATTCATTTGATACAGCTCTGCATTCCCTGTATGGTTAATTCACACTTATCTGGTAGGTGACCTATTCAGCTTGTAGACAGACGGGACAGTAAATATGAAGACACCTAAATTCAGAAGCAGTACAGCTTGTACTGTCTGTACTTCCTAATTCTGTTTCCATATTAAAGCACCAGTTATTTTACCCCTTGGTTTGATCTGATCTTGTGAATTGCTGTAATGTAAGTGTTGCACTATGTTTTTGGCTGTCCAAGGTTCCCCACTCACTCACTTACATAGCCCTGGATTACAGAAACCTGTAGACACCATGCATCTGTGGAAATACAAGGTGATTTCCCTTAATCTTGCTGACATTATGCTTCTATATTTGCTACTTTTCTCAGATATTATTTATTTGCTCTGTGCAAATCTCCTTCTATAAGCATGTCTGCTGACTTTTGTATGTATGCATGAATTAATGCAGGTATGCATACAAATTTCTCCCTAAATTCTTAACTAGTTTGGGACATTTCATATTCTGATGAGATCCTGACTGTGTCTGATATGCACACAAATTCCTAGAAATGTTCTAGTCCTTATTTTAATGTTGAATATCATCATATGCCTTGACATACATCTACTTTCTGAATGAAATAGTTGTATCTTACATACGCACATCCAGGAGACTAAATCAAGTCCATGTGCTTCTAGTGATATAACCAGAGGGACACTACCTGAAACCTAACAAACTGGAAAGTATTCAATCAATATAACAATTTATCACTAAAGCAAGTTCATATTCCATCTGAGAGAATATAAAATCAAGATACCAATAAACCACAGACTTTTATTAACTGAGTGCTTTAAATTTCAACAGCTTGCAAAGTCTTTGTGCAAAAAAAGGGATTGTTTCACTTTTGGAAACTGAGTGTTATTAGCGTATGATGGATATTAATTATTCAGTCCAGTAAACACATAACTGACAGATGTACACAAGTATGGCATCTTCTAAAAATACAGGTGATGCACAAATAGCCCAGAACATTTATTCTTCAAGTATACTGTATTTTATATGTCATATGATAGCAGTTAGGGATGCCTGAAGAATGACTTTGTAATTGTGTTCTCACAGGATGTCCTTTTGTTTTTCCAAGAAATATTCTCCAGTGTTTCTCTTTTCCATCAGATGTCTCCAGCACGATCACAGGAAGACATTATTTCCCCCTAACTATACAGGAATATGTATCAACACAGGATTCATGCCATGATGTTAAATTAACAATTGTTCAGTAATTTATTTCTCTCGCTTCTCTCTTTCCAGTGGAAATACTTGATCCAAACCTGACCGAAATAACTGCAGACGCTTTTGTTGACTTTATGGGCCTTTCTGACTCTGTCTGTGATACAGGAGAATCAGCCATGCAGGACAGGGGTGTAATTCCATCAAGGACTTATGGTGACCTCATAAACCATGAGAGCTGGCATTGACTTTAATGGGCACCACGTGGTTAAATTCCCATGCATCAATTTGAAAATGTAGGGCTTCATTTGATATTGCAGAAGGATACCAGACCTGCCGTGTCAAATTGTTTCTCTTTCTTCTAAAGGAGCTACTAGCTTTATGTTACAGTCAGTCCTCTTTGGTAGCAAATGAAATATACCATTCTGGAAAATTAGTATTTTCTCTGGCAAAACGAACTTGAAAAGTACATTTCATAGAAAAACACATATTTGGGTTATATTCTTTTAAATAAACTTTCTAAAAAGATGGCAATAACTTCAAGGAAAGGTGTGGTTTGTATAGCACTGGCTTGCCTGCAAAGTTTTAAGTATGAGACATTTCAAAAAATTAATTTGTACATCAATTAGAAAATATAGGAATGGAATTATTTTAGATCAGTTGAAAAACTAGACTATATTAAACCTATTAAAGTAGGTAAAGTGTCTCAAATTGCTAATGTTGGATGACCACAGTTAAAAGTTACTCTAACAAAAGTGATTGTATTCAATACACCAGTTTTAGTGATGTGTGTTTTAGGAATGTAGTCCCAAACCTGGGAAAAAAACAAACAAACAAACAAAAACCAACAAGAAAACCTTGAAGAAAATAAAGAGGCCCTATGGACAACAGGAATTTCCAGGGGTACGGTATGATTGATTTGAATTTTCACTTCTGTGAAATTTGTTCAATCACCTTTATAAGGCACTTGTAGATTTTGTATTGCCTTTTCTCAAACTATATTTTGTCTTTTAAAAATAGTGTACAGCCATTGTACATACCTATAAAATGCTACCTATGATCATCCCTAAAAGAAGATATGACAGTATGGTTATGATTCAGGCAAATGTGGTAATAAAGACGTAACCTAAATTTGTCATCTTAGCTTTTTTATGCTATGTGGTATCAGTATACAGTAAGGAGATGCTCTAAAAATTGCCTATAGTGATGAGTGCATACCAAGAAATGGTCTGTCCTAAATTCTGAGAGTACAGATCAGCGAACTGCCTAATCTCTATTTTCCCCTATAAGTAATTTTATGGCTTGCTTGGTTCATAAATATAAAAATATTTGTGGGATGGCAAGATAATGTTCCTGCATTAAATACACACTAGGATATGTTATTTTTTATTTAGCTTCAGGTCACAAATCACCTTGAAATTGAAGGGGGAAAGAGGATACCTTCCAGACAGATTATTCAAAAACTGCTTACTGTGGGCTTTCTACTGCCTTAATGTGAAGTCCCTGGTATTTGTCATTCTCTGGGATACCTTTTGAACTTTATGTGTCACCATTCCCTATGGTGTATTGCACTGAAAAGTACATGTTTTTCACCAGGTGCATGGATCAACTCTAGGGTAGAGCATTTTCTGTATCCCATGCCACATAACCAGGCAGAATAATTGTGTATTCTAAATTTAGTTTAAATGACTTAAAGAATTCCAAATGTGTGAATTACAAACTATATGGGATAAGGTTGGTTCTCCCATTTTACTGTCATAACACAGTTAAATAGGCTTCATACAACAAGCTCTTTCTTAAGAGCACTCAGAATTACTCCAATTGTAATCTCATAACTGAAATAGTTAATAAATTACAGGCATATGGAAAGCTGTAATAGCCTTGGGGTGCAAGTTGTACTGTAGTAGGTTAGATAGTTTGTACAGGAGGAGGATCCCTAAGGCTTGTTGAATAAATAGATGGATCTTTGTGCTCCATGGAAAATGATGTATGTTTTTGGTTTGTTTGTACTACTTTCTCCACATGAAACGTGTGTTTGGTCCAACAATTCTGTGGTTTCCTCACTTTGTGATAATAATTAACACCCTCACTGAAGTCTAACCAGTGATGACATTTGTTTAGGGGTCTGATTCTGATTTTTGTTGTTATTTTGCCTTATGTTACTTTCAATACGCAATTGAAACCATTTTAGAAAATCTGAAGTCTTAAGGATTTTTTAATTTTTATTTATTTATTTATTTTGGTATTACTGACCATTTAGAAACTGTTTCAGGCAACACATCCTTTGTCCTTCGAAGTGCACCCTTATGGGGTGACAGCAGCAAGCTGAAACTAAATCCAGCTATGCATAGCCCTAAATGCAAAAGGCTGGGAAAGATTTCTCCTTTTTTTTTTTTTTTTTTTTTTTTTTTTCCTGAAGAAACAGATATAATTAATACAACAGTAAATCCACCATAAAGTAACTATTTTTAGGAGGTAAATGGGTTAGGAGAGAAAAAAGAAAGAGTATCTTAAACCTTACTTTAAGGATTCCTGAAGCTTTAGGGAAAATTTATTTTAGGAAAGATGACAATGGTTTTCTACTCCCCTCAATAATCTTGTAAAAAAGATTAATAGCTTTGGAGTAGATGTACATATTTTGAACTTCCTTTCTGGACAGAGCACAAAGAATAACTGACTTGTTTGTGGTTGTAGAAGAATCATAGGTGGCTTTGTATAAGAAAGGCAGGTAGCTGCCAGGGACATACAAGTCTCCTTCCCTTTTATTTTTCTTTTTTTCAATAACTTTTTTCAATATGTTGTCATTTCTCTCTTCCCCCCCCCCTCCCCCCCTCCCCCCCATTTTTCCTAAATAAATGAAATGTCAAATCAGCAGAGAATTAAAATGTATTTATAAAAAAACAACCAAAAGGGCATCTGATGTTTTACAGACATTCCAACACCTTCAGGAAATTTGAACTCACACCAAAGGGTCTGATATTCATTTGAATCTCCATCTGTGCTGAAGCACATGTGTGCGCACAACACACATTGAACCACTACAGTGGAAAAAAAATCCCTGCTCTTAAATTATAGCAGCTCTCTGCAATTCTTCTGTAACCACAAAGACTTTGGTAGTTTTGAGACATTGCAGTGGCTTCGGGTGATCTGATCACAGAGCTTGGTTTGTTAAAGAAATCCCTTTGCTGAAAGGTAAGGAAAAGCTGTAGGAGAAACACAGGGAGCTGCAAGCTCACAGCATGAGGGCAGTTTAGAGTAAAGGGGAAGGGTTCAAGAAGCTGATGTGACAGCAGACACCCTACAGCCAGAGTTAATGCTGGAAACATTGTAGTTTTAGTTCCTTCACAAGAAATCCCAATGCTTGCAGGAAGGGATATAGTCATTAGTCCTCAATGGGAATATGACCTTTCCCTTTAAGTATCTGTGTGATGCTTTTGATCCTTTCGACTCTCTCTAAGGGATAGATTAAATATGTGGCACAATGTCTATTCCTGAGTGAGGATTAAGCCTGGCTTTTGGAAGCTGAACTATATTGCCTAACCCATCATCATTTATCATGTTCTCTGGGGACCTATTCTCCATTTTTCTCCCCCTCCCCCAGGCTTTTAGAAAATCCCTTTCTCTGGGGTTTAATATTGATCTCAGCTGCATTGGCCTTGGCTTCAGTGTAGTTACTTCTGATTTTACACTTAAACAAGTCTTATGTCTCAGATATCTTGTTAAACAAAGTGCTATTCTGAGGCTCAGCTCTCATGCAACCTGCACTCCCCTTGGTGCATTTTTGTTCATGCATTTTAATGTTAAATATCCTTAAAGTGATTTATAGGTTTATATCACCCTGGAATTCCTTGAGGATAAACCTTACCCTATAATATTTGTATTCTGATTTAACAAAGCAATGAAGCATGTGATTACCTTTAGGACCCACGTAAATCGCATTAACTTCAGTTAAACCCAAGGACATTAGTGCTTCACTAAACAGGGATGCTTATGGCTATCATGCACATAAATGTTTTTGCTGAGTCAAGTCTTAGTGTTCTTTCCATTTTTGTTCCAATTTCTCTTCTACTTCGTTTGATGATACAAGTATTTTTGTCTTGTACACTGCTTCCAAGTTAGAAGCTACGGTGGGACTGAAGGTCTCATTCGGGGGAGGATAAAATTAATCCATTCTGCAGCTGTGAACCAGAGAAGTCCCAGCAAGCTTCCCAGTAAAATGAAAAAGTGATGGTATGCCACACTGGCTCATAAAAATGTAATTTAAGCACTGCCCTCTCAATAAAAATATCACATTTAGGACACAGTAATCCCCTTCTGAACCTTATCTTACTTTTCAACAGCTCTTTGGACTCTTACAATTGATGCACTTTGAATTTCCTGTTGGTCAGGTAACATGACTTTCTGTACCTCCCTCCCACAGCCACAGCTTTGCACTTCACTCTGAGCAGGCAATATCCAGACACAGGCAGAAAACTGAATCCATGGTCTAAAATTTTGTAAGTTCAGGAGCTTTTAGATTCCTAGTTGGCAGATTTCAGAGCTACTACTGCTCAGAGCTGTGGCCTTTACACATATTGCACCAAAATGAATGAAACTTCAAAAATGTTTTCAATTGTTTTCTCGACTCCTGCCAGAATTTTTGCCTTTTTTTCATACTTTTTTTTTTTTAATTCTTTTTAATGAGCTCCTGATTTATGACAAGAAATCACCAGACACTTAGGTTTCCTGAGCTTATTAAAATAGACAAATTCTTTGGTGTTAGAAAATCATCATAAGAACATATATTTTTTCCATACTAGTTTGAATCATTGTAGGCAAGTCCACCAGTCCTCCTCCCAGCTATGGTCTGGGGTCTATATTTCAGCACAGGGCACAAATAATCCCTTCCAGTGCCTGTCTCAATTAAGCCTTTTTATTATTTATTTATTTTTTCACTGGGGGCAGAAGGGTGATTCCTTTCTTGTCCCAATAACATTCTGTATTTTATTGATATCAAAAGATTTTTTTTTCTCTGCCTTAGCATGTGCAGTGTAGTTAATCTTCAAAATAGACATCATCTTTCTAGCTTCCATGTCTGAAGTGCACTGGTGATTTATATGCTAGCAGTCTGTTTTCACGATGTCTTTCCTGGCCGTCCTGTATCTCTCCCCTGTGGAGCACTGGGCCTTAAAATCATTGCAGTAAGGACAGGCAATCTGTCTTCTTTAGATATGTATTGGATTTTCCCTGTGTCTGAGCCTATGGAACGTGCCAATGTCTTTTGTGGTTCTGGCAGGCAAACCTCAGGAAAGTGTGGAGCTTTGGATTGGGTAACAGAGGAGCTGGTTGGGAATTTTAAAGCAAAGTGTTCTTTTTTATTATTCTTTTCATCAGATAATGATGGGAATATATGAACAAGTTTCAGAAGGAGTGTTGCAACTCCAGGATGGTGTTTCTGCTCAAAATCACAGAGCCATATGTTAGCTTAGGGTTCACTGTTTGGAAGCAACCTCATTGCAAAGTGAAAATTGCAGCTCTGCTTCATCCAGATGAGGAACTTCAGA